TGTATGTGTGTGTGTGTGTGTGTGTGTGTATTATACATATTGTGTGTGTGTATGTGTGTGTGTATGTGTGTGTGTATGTGTGTGTATGTGTGTGTGTATGTGTGTGTATATTATACATTGTGTGTGCGTGTGTGTGTATGTGTGTGTGTTTTTGCGTGTTTGTGTGAGTGCACGCGCACGCTTGTGTGTATACCTGTGTAAATAAGTTTGAAATACACACTGCAATGCACAGTGATAACGTTTTGCTGAATAATAAATTCTTTTTCCGTCACCTCTAGGTAGATTCTGCAACTGAGACGTTTTTTGTTTTGTTTTGTTTTGTTTGCTGGTTTTTTGCTTGTTGTTGTTTTTTTGGTGGGTTTTTTGTTTTTGTTTTTGTTTTTGTTGAACTCTGCGACATCTTTGTCTAGACCCACTTTATCGTTAATTCTAGGTCAGAGAGATCTTGAACAAGATAAAAACCACTCTTCAGTCTGTCTATGCTTTAGTTCTGTTCTTTTTTTTTCTGAGAGGGAAACCGTCAGATAGACTCACAATAAATACTTAATAGGAAATAAGACACTGAGCGGAGAAAGAACGTTGACATTTCTATGTCCATGCCCTGCTGGACTAAATGACACGTCGCTTTGAAACTAATAAAAATGATAATAGCTCATCCGTCAATGTTAGGAGATGATCAATACATTCGCAGCTGAGAATACTTCTCCAGCTAAAATTAAAGAGAAGAATCAGAAGAATTAAAGTTTTAAGTGGTTTCTACTGTGGCCGCGATAATACGCAATTGTGGCAGAGAAAAGTTTGCCACTTTTTTAACATAAAAGCTCCACTTCCTCTTGTGGATGTAGGCCCTACACATCTTCCGAACTCTTCTCTTGGTTTCAGCATAATTTCTATAGTTTGTTAAGTCTGATACGATTTGTTGTCCACTGTGGCAGCTCCTCTCCAGCTGGGTCTGTCAGGACCTGGGCTCTCCCATGTCGAAGTATGTGTGTTATAGTCCTTCAGATATATTTTCAGGGTGTCTTTGTATAGCTTTGTGTGTGTGTGCATGATGCTAGTTTTTGTTTTTGCCTGAAGCCAACGGGAATGAATAATTTAACGCATTGAAAACGACAATCTTCTCATTTGACATATTTTAATAATATAATATATTAGATCTTAATCCAACGATTTCGTTGAAGGGATCCACCTGTGATGAGCGGTACACGAGCGATTTAAAATTGATAGTTTTATTTAACTCCAGCCCTCATTAAAATTCTATCACTCTTGTGGTCGTGTAGACACAGAGTAAGACAAAGTTCGTCTGTGATGTTTTGTGTGTTTATTTTTGTGTTTGTGTGCCATGTAGGCAGACAGGTTTAGTTTTCTTTCTTTTTTTTGGTAAGTGCTTTACGGCGCTCACAACCGCATAAGGTCACATGGGCGCGTGGACACATTAAATATTTTCAGTTCAGTTAGTAGGAAATTTTGAATTTTGCCCTGGTGGCGGCCGAAGCCCACTCTTTTCAATTTTAGACCACCAAAGGATATTTAACGTGCGCAACTTGCACACGGGCCCTCCGAGATTTTTCGCCCTTGTCCGAGAAGGCTAGGTGTAGATCTACCGGAAGATCAGGGGTGTGGCTGAAAGAAAGCAGTAAGGAGGAGCCAAGGAGAAGCAGTTAAGTAGAAAGGCAGCAGAAAGAGTCGGAAGCCCTGAGGAGGGGGTAAAGGAGGTGAGGGGGTGGGGGCAGAAAGTGGACGACAGAATATGGCTAGAGAGCAGGAAAGGGGGTGAAAGGATAGGCCTGCAATTTTAGAGGCTAAAATTTTTCGGTCGCTACCCGGATTCGAACCCGGGGCCTTTGAATGAGAGGCGAACACCTTCACCTCTAGGCCACGAGAGCCCCCAACTATTTTTTGAAGATTGTAAATCAACGAACAACTTAAAAGCAAATTCCAAACTTCAAAATAGCATTTCCGTTTTTCTTCGCCGATTCATTCTGTCACATGTAGGGCCTATTTGTCTTTTTCTAAACCGCTTCTCAATCTGGACCAAGATTTGTTTGAAGAGGAAACCTCTCCTGAAACACTGTAGAATCTACTATATTCATAATGAATCTCCTCGCTTCCCCCCCCCCCCCCTCTCTCTCTCTCTCTCTCTCTCTCTCTCTCTCTCTCCTCCTGCCTCTCTCCCCTCCTCCTCTCCCTCTCTTTCTCTTTTCTTCTCGCTCCTCCTCTCTCATTCTCTCTCTATCCCACTCTTATTCACTCTCTCTCACTCTTTCTTTTTACCACCCAGTCTCTATCTATTTTCTTCCTGTTCAAATATTTACTTATTTCAGGCTTACTTGAACGCTTCTTGTGACCTTACTTTTGGAAGATTCCCATGTCCGGATTCAATTGTCAGACTGACCCGTCTACTTGAGATGAGCTGAGATAACAACTTTTTCTATTGACGGTGGCAGGACATTTGTTTGTCTGTTTTTGGGTCTTTTTTTTCCAGATCGCCCCTCTATTTTATTGTTATGCCTTCCTACCTGTCTACTGTTTGCCTGTCTGTCTGACTTTTTAGGTCGCTGTGTGACTGTTGTATTGGGTTCATTCTTTTTCTTCTCTATTAACTCTCTACCTCAGCTCATGTTCTTGGAAGAAGAAGAAGGAGGAGGAGGAGGAGGAGGAGGAGGAGGAGGAGGAGGAGGAGGAGGAGGAGGAGGAGGAGGAAAAGGAGGAGGAGGGGGAGGGGGAGGCGAGGAGGAGGGAGTGAGGGGAGTAGGATTGGGGGAGGGGAAGAAGGGGAAGAAGGGGAAGAGGAAGAAGGGAAAAGAGACAGAGGAATAAAATATAAAAGTTTTGATAAAAGCAAATATGCCAGTGACAAGAAGACTGATTGTGGTGCTTTTTCGGTAGTTCCCACCCCCCTTATATTTTGAGCCTGACCTACATCGAGATCTAGGCTATACGTTTGATGCGAGCTAAGATATAAAACCTAACAAGTGCAAAACATCAAATTATGGTAAAATTCAGGGGGGCATGCTGAAACCCTCCCCCCCCCCCCCCCCAACCACATTTTTGTTAGGACAGGGGGGCAAGCCCCCCTGGAACCCCCCTCTCTTGAGGCCAAAACCGGCGAATAACAATTGCGAGGTGGGAACTACCGAAAAAGCGCCCACATTGTTGCAAATCAAAATCATCAGCAGTAGTGTGTTACTGCAAAAACATTGAAACAGCGTTGGTGAATAAATGTAACAAATTAATTGAACGAGGTTGATCGGCGAAATTTTTCTAGTGCGAGTGTTTCATTGACGGAAGTTCCAGAGTGACTCTTTTGTGCACGGCGGTAGTGTTTTAGTGGACACTGGATATCAATGGCGAAATACTGAGTCTCTAGTTTTCTCAGCTTCTCCGAACAGAAATGTGGAAATAGGATTTGGCTATACTATTTCATGTTGGTGTGTGACTGTTCTCATGTGTGCTTGTTTGTTGTTGTTGTTTTGGAATCTAGTAGACTCTAGTGTTTGACTGTTACACGATAGATGTAATCTAATTATTTTGCAAGGTGGTCTTCTAAACTAGATGTAGATCTAGATTCTAGAATCTAAATGTCTTGTCTTTTAAATCAGGATTTGATTTATTATTAATGATTTTTAAAGAAATTAAAAATAAAATGTCTTTCTTCTATTCTTGAGATGAGATCATCTTCTCTTGAGTCTCTTGTCAAGAGTATAGACAGAGAAGTGAAGTGTAGGCCCTATATTGGCTATATACTGAGTGCCCATTGCCATTGGCTTGGGGGTTGGGTGGGGTCGATCGCCCGACTTGTTGCCTGAAAACAATTACAAAGGCCACCTCCAGGTGAGAATAGCGCAGGCGAGCATTTTGGCTATTCTCACCCGGTGTGCGTTCACCGTTATAGCCTAGGCCTACCTGTGTAGTGTTCACCCTGAACCACAGAATTCCACACTGTGCAGAATTGTGTCCTGTTATTGCCATTAACAAACGTTCCAGGGCTCTTGTGTTGTAACTGTTTAAAGCCTAAAAGCATTGCAATTTTGTCTGGGCAGTGGAGAGAGAGAAAGAAAGAGAGAGGAGTAGCGTGAGAACTTCCGGGCTAAACAAAATGACTCGATTCGAAAAGTTAAATAGCCGTAGCATCTTTGTAGAGGACCAAATTAATTTGCTTAAATTTTGTGTTTTAACATCATTTTAAAACTTTGTTTTGGTCAATTTGATCGTCCACACCGATAGACAGTATTCAGAAAGAGAGAAAGAGGGGAGGAGTAGATCTTGCGAAAACATGCGGGCAAAACAAAATGGCGAGCCCCGTAGTTCGGCTCGATTCGAAAAGTGAAATAGCCATCTTTGTAGACGACCAAAATTAGCTTACTTTTGTGCTATGACGTCATTTTTTCTTTGAAATTGTCAGGTTGATCATCCACACAGATAGACAGTAGTATATTCCGAAATTTGGAAAAACAGGTCTTGTTTCACATCGGGTGAGAATAGCCAACACTGGCAGGGTCTCACCCGTGGTGAGAGGTCGATCATATTTTTATTCTCACCCTGGGTGAGGATAGCCACTTCCGAAAACAAATGCATTTTTATTTTTGAGGCGACGAGTCAGGCGCGATGGCTTGTACTTGTAGGCCTACTACAATAGCCATTTTTTAAAATAGTCTATTAAGGTTTTTATAGATCTAATGTATGTGATCTGCAGCAAAAAATAGGTCCATTTGACTCCCCAAAACAGTGCATGCATTCGAATGAGTGAAAGCAAAGAATTTACTCTGTTCAGTAACAGTAAATCGCTCTAGAGTGTATTCCCTGGCCCTTCAGCAGTCTGTCATAATGTTGAGCCTAGTCCTATAGCACACAGCATGGTAAGATTGTACTTTGCCGGACCACCGGTTGGAACTACTTTCGCTATGGCGCCCCTGGTGCCTAGTGGTCTGCTGTTCTTCCTTTCCAAGCTCTCTTACTCTCCTAACTCAGTTTTCTACGTCCTCATCCTTCTACTGGCAACAACCAACTGACGTCTCTTACCGGGTTTTTCAGTCATCACGACCAGCCACTGTGCCCTTTGACCCACGACCCTGACACCTTGAGGCTAATTGGTCAATCTAATCATATATAAATTTGCTCGCGACTCTGCTAGGCTAGGCCTACTCCTGGTCCGGCAAAGTACAATGGAGGGTGAGAGATGCGCACGAGAGCTCATTTGCATAATTGCAACCCCCTCGGCCCTGCTCGCGACTTGGCGAGTGCTAGGCTCGGTCTGTTCCAACTTTAATTAGATCTACCCCGATTGTCCACTTAGCTCCATGGTCCGCTCATGTTATTGTTTATATAACATGTATGCGTGTGTTTTTAAATTATTGCTCCCAGCAGGGCTAGCCCCCCTGAAACCCCCCCACTGTTATATATTGATATGTAAACACGATTGTCCGCTCATGTTATTGTTTTGCATTTGTGTGTTTTCTTTATTATTGTTTCCAGGAGGGTAAGCCCCCCTGAACCTCCCACTGTTGGTATGATACATGGTGGTCCACCAAAGTCAAATCCCCTACCCACCCTCAACCACCACTTCTCGCTCACCTTGCCTCGCCGCTGGCTTGCACTGTGCGCGAAGTCGCCCGCAGAACTACCTTTAGTCCGCACGTAGAGAACTATGAGTGCGTAGTTAGGCTAGGCGTGCGTAGTAATCACATGCCCAGACTGGTGGTCCGTAAAGTACAATTCAGCCCACGGCATTTATAATTTGTTAGCCCAGCTCTGCTACACTACATTACTGAATATATGTGTTGCATAAAACGGTGGAGTCAGGCTTTTGTGGGTATCATCTAAAGGCATGTACATGACATTTGTTTTGCTTTTGATGATAAAAATAGGCTACCCATAGAATCTATCTCTTGCAATAAACATCAATATTTTTTAAATGAAGGAGATCATGGGGATTGCTTGGTGTGCATACACTGTACTATGATTCTTGTCCTGCGTCTGTGCTGAGATGCGAATCTTATCAGCAACCGATTACGTCGGATGTTCCGGGCAGGCCGCCGGGGTCACTCAGTGTGTACTGTTGGTGTACAGCGCATGTGCCGGGAAACGTGTGTTTTCGCCATGAATACCGTGGGAGTGTGTTAACGGGAGGAGCTACCCTTGAGGATATGTTTGTAGCTTAAGATCAAATCTAAGTACATATATAAGTTAGGCATAGTAAAATCTCTTGAAACGCAATTTTATTTTGCCATAGTTTCAGCGGTTGCTATGGAAACGGCGCCATCTTGAAAATAAACAATGAATTTCAAATCCCTAAGGCTTTCTTATTTACAGACCAAATTTGACCAAATTTGACCAAATTTGGAGAGAGTATACCTGAACCAGACCCTATCAGAGTAACAGCAAGTTTTTTTTTCAATAGGTACTAAAAATTAAAAAAAGAGAATTTTTCAAAAGTATTAAAAAACTTTTTCTAAATTTTGGTTTCGTAATCACTTGCCAATGAAAATTTTTTTTTTTTCGCAAGTATTTCTCTGTTACATTGATGGCAGCCTTGCCAACTATGTTTCCTGAAAGTTTCATGTCAAAAGGATGAAAACTAAAGAAGGAGTAGGGAAAAAAATGCACAGAAATTACATTTTGCGAAAACCGACAATAATTGTGAAAATTCACTAAATGAATCCATACTCATGTTTTTAAAGGCAAATTACCTGGAGAATAAAGTCTTTCTTTATTGCATCCATGCAATTTTTAGACAAAAAACTGGTTGATCTTAAAAAATCAGCCAACATAAAATGTGCATAGCCTGACCCAAAATCTGCAAAATCAAGGGTCGCTCCTCCCCTTAATCGATGATGAAAATAACGCTCTTATCTTTTATAGCTTTAAAGTGTTACAAACACATGAAGAACCCCCTCTCACAAGCTGATATGACATTATGAGTAGTTACGCCCATTCGAATACCTTTCTAGACACTCTTGTTGTTATGAATGACCTGAGGTTCCAAAGGGTATATATATTTAGGTCAATTTCTGGATGTTTTGCGCTGAAATTGTTCTTTGTACCTGCGCGATGGTATTCAAAACTATGAAACAAGCTAATTTTTTATCTGGTAGTATCATTTCATCATACAAAATCAAGCTCTTTTGAAAGATTTTGTATAGAAAAATGGAAGTCTTGTTTCCTGACTATTCCTTTCGAGCTCCTCATGTCTAAGTGGGTCAATTTCTTCTATAATTTCATTGGACGAACATCTAGAGCTATAGACTTGGCGTGTTGTGAATGAGACGTATGCCTCAATTACGAACCAACGCAGGTGGTTCTAGAAGAAGGCCACAATCGCTACAAACTCAAGCAGACTGACACACACACACTTGACCTGCGTGAATGGGGATCCGACACGGGACCCGAATTGAACGGGAGATGATGCTCGACGCGCGTGCTCTGAGCCAGGGGCCAGACTGACACGGGGCCAGAACGCAGGCGAGGTGCCAAAATAGGCTTTTCGGGCGACATAAACCCGGCCCCCGCAGGATGAGGGTTAAGCAGTTATAATAGTCTAAAAATTTAAAAAAAAGATTGTTATCATTACCATGATCTTTCAAATTCTTGTTATTGTCCTCCTTAAAATTTCTGTTAACTTATTTGCCTTTTGCTACTTTGGGTTTCAAGTGACAGACTCTCTTGAAAAACAATGGGAGAAATGGCTGTTTGTGATGCATGCATCTTAGATTAAGTCCTGACTTATTTTTGTTCTCAATCCTTAATTATTTCCATCCCATTGCAGGTTCATCACTTTTCATTATGAGCCAAGAGAGTCCTGCCAACAAGGAGAAAACTCACTCCATCTTGTTAAGGAAAAGCAGCAACCAGAAAATGGTTCTTAAGGAGAAAATTGTACAGATCTATGAGGCTTTTTTTCATGTACGTGACAATATTTTCAATTTTGTTATGATATATTTCATGTCATATGAGAAGAAATTCTTAGACGATGCATGAAATAAGCTCATGAGAAACCCAGCTTTTGAGAAGTCCACACTTGAACTTGAAGATAAACCGAACCTTTTTCCATGAATACTTTGGCCATTTTTGCTGGTGAATTTTATTTGATGACAAGAACTTTTATGAAAAGTTCCTATTTAAGAAGTGTTCATTATTTAATGTTCTATATAAACTTAAATATATATTGTGTATGTGTGATATAAATGAAATGGAATTAATGGGCACATCAAGTATGATCCATCATAGTTTGCCCTTCTTTCAGTGTTCGGAAGGCTATAGGAATGGTATTTTGGTGAGGAATGGCTTTAGGTTGTCAAGCTTGAAATGTTCACAACTCCGATTGTTTTGAGAACTGTGCAGCCCGATGTTTTTTTATAAACAAATACAACAATGCAGTGTGACAACTTTTGAGACACTCTGTATGGTAAATGAACTAGGTTGTTTCAGACAGTGGATGTGATTGTTTTTACAAAGTGGGGAGACTGATGTTGACTAGATGATTTAGTCACTGCTTCCAAGGAAGACGATAGCTTGCTTATTTGGTTCATAAATATTGTCCTCCTTTTTTTTTGTATTCCCTCTGCTTAGGGGGAAGATCCTTCAGTATCAAATCCAAACTTCTGGGATGAACTTTTCCTCCTGCGGGTAAGTTACTCAATTATGATATAAATTTATGTGTCAAAAAGTTTCAATAATTGGTATTTTGTTTAAATATTTATCAATTTTTTGTCCCCTTTTTCTCTAGTAGATTACAATCAAAATTATGTGTATATATGACTTTGGGTATTAAGAAAAATACTTTAATTTGTATTACTTTGATATGGTTCGTTTCTGAGAGTTTCTTCCTGATAACAAAAGTTTTCATGTCTTTGTTATTTTGACAGGTCAACACACAGTTCATTGAAAGCGAGATTGATAAACTCAATGGAGATGGTTTGTTGGACTTGAAAGTATGTACTTTTTAAAGTTTATATTGTCAAGTGTGATTATGGTCGCTTTTTTAATTCTCTCAAAAGGTATGATCAAAATTTAATTCCCCACCCCCCCCCCCCCCCACCCCCCTTCAAAACAGTATAGTTCTTTGAGAGACGTGATGTATTCATACTTTTCATCTCTCAAGAGGCTGAGACGAATTGGTGGAGTGCTTCCTCAAATGACTTAAGTTGTAAAAAGGAGTTTAATCCAGCGATATATGTTTGCACCCAATTTTTTTCCATTTAACATTGTAAGTCAAGTACAGTAAGTGTTAGAGATTCATCATCATTGTCTTTTCTCACCTTAGACCATGAACAGACTCTTTTCGCATTTCCTATCTGCTTCTTCTTTCCTATCAAACATTTATCGTCCTTATCTCCCCTTCTTCTTTTTTATGGCGAGCGCCGTAAAATCTCTACTAAAACAAACTAAATTAAAACAAACAAACTCAATTACCTGTGCTCTGGTTTAGCGGTGCAAGGAAAGGCCCGAACTCAGATACAGCGGGAGAGATCGAGTGAGCTCTAGCTGGGGGGAAGGGGGCCGTAGGCGGGCTCTAAGCAGACAGTCATCGGTGCAGCGTTGTGATTGGCCGGTCCAGTGATGAGTGAGGTGGGACAGGGGCACAGCAGGATGGTGCAGAGAGACGCATTACGTGAGCCACTCCAAAAATGATGTTCTGTAGCTTACACACTTAGTATGAGAGCGTTTAGGCCATAGCCCTAGGCTTTGGCTAGGCCAAAAAGTAAAAGAAGAGGAGAGCGTGTAGTATGTGATTCATTGAACTGCGATCATTGATGCTCAGGCATACGCACGCATCCTCTTCAGAAGTTCTACAGTAGGCCTACCGGTACGATACACAGCACAAGCAACAAGACGGAGGGAAAGATGGCTTCCAACAAAGACAAAAGGAAATGCTTCTCACTCGAGTTAAAGGCTGAGATAATAAACTAAATTGACAAGAAAAGGAAGACTAATCTAAAGCGCAAATTATGTTGATGTGGAAGGGAGGCAATCATGTGGATTTAAAGAAATTTTTCAGTAATTTCCCCTTTGCATTCCTATTGCGGGAACTCACCTACAGTGGGAGTTTTTCTTCTGGAAACAAAAGTCCCGCTAGAGCCGTTTTCTACTGTTATTACTTTTGTGTGTGAAGGGTTAGGAATTGGGTTACTTGGCCAATGCAATGGTCTTGACCTGCAATGAGGTTAGTCTGTCTTTTAGTAATTATTAAAAGTTGGCAGCTCGACCTTTGGAAAGGATAGTGTAATTGACACAGTTTCTGCTGTGACTTTAATTATCATGTTTTTTTTGTTGTTTGTTTTTATTCTCACAGGACAACTTCAACCTGCTCTTTTTTCAAGCCTGTGAGACTCTGAAGGGAGACAACAACATTCGGAAAGTGAATGCATTGCTTGTAAGTATTAAGATATGTCTATGATATCAGTCCCAAGGTTCAACACCAGGAAAGCCTGTTTTATTAGAAACAAAAACACCCTGTAAATTGTTGTGTCTTTCGTTTCTTCAGTTTCTAAAAATGGCTTTTGAGATGTACGTGAACAGCTAAAAACCCCCGGGGCGGTGCCTCTAACTGAAGTGTTGTTAAGCCATTCCCAAAGGGGGACATTTCTTGTTCATGCACTGTAGAATTGCAAATGGGCTGATTCATCAATGTCACACTCGTAACTGCCTGATCTACAACAGGGAACTGCTGCTTTTTCTTTCCTAATCTTTTTTCCTCTACTTCTTTTGTATGTTTGTCACACTCTTGTGACCCACTATTTCCGGTGTGCCTTGATAGTCGAAGCAGACTTTGTACTGTTGAAGCTAGAGGGGTGAGCAGAGTAAGTCTGATTCCCTGTAAGGACTGTTGACATTCACCCCTTGGCGCTCATATGACCTTATGCAGTTGCGAGCGCCGTAAAACCTCTACTAAAACTAAGAACAGCTAAAAACAGACCTGTTAAAAAAGTTAAGACAAAGCGTCTACCCTGAGAAAAATGAAGTCATTAGGCTTGAGCCATTATGGCATGCTTCCTTTTTCTCTGGGATAAAATTATGTCAGCGTGCAATTGATTGGTGGCTTGTGATATGTATCTTTGAATATTGATTAAAGTGACCAAGAACACACTTTTGTTTATTGTTTGATTATTTGTTTCTTCTTAAATATATATTTGTTGAAAAAATATATGTCCAGATTTGGTTGTTGCTTAAAAGGTTTTTGTTCTCTTTTTCATTCGAACTAGTAGGCAATATCCTATTTTGTTTGAATCCTATTCTTTTCCCTTATATGCTTTGTACATTTTGTATAGTAACTTAACAGTCTCTGAATTAAATCTTTTCTTGTCTATCCTTTTTAGTATTTCTCATTTCTTTATTCTGTTCCATTATTACTGCATTTTTTCCCCCTCTGACTAACACCTCTGTGACTTATAAATTAAATGCTCAAGCTGTTAAAACATTTATCCAGACCCTGTGTGCTCTTGTCCGAGGCATATTTCGAAAGAGCCAAGGGAACTATGGCTTTGATGTTATCAACCTGTTGGTTGGATTTGACTCGGCAGAAGGTGTGATGCAGGTAAGGGGCATTGGAGAAAGGAAGTGCAGTGGAGTCCGCTTAAACTGAAATCTGTGGGACCGCCAGATTTTCTTTGGTTTTGTTGTGTTTTCGGTGTTAAGAGAATGCTCAAATAGCATAGAAAAAACCTGTGTATTCTATTTTCTTTTGGATTACTGCTGGTT